GCCACGGTGCGGGCTGTGACCCGTTGCCAGAGGGGGTGCCCTGAGGCCGCAGCGGTGGCGGCGTTCGGGCGAGGCGCTGGGTTCGGAGCTGCCTTAAAAACCCCCCTTTTCCTCAGAGCGGGTGCCGCGCTGCCTGTGAGGCGCTGGCTCCGAGTCAGGCCGTTGCTGTGGGGTTTTTTTGGTAGGGGGAATGGTGGCGTTTTTCCGCACTGAGCCGTCGAATGTGAGGCCCAGCACAGGCGGGTGTCCCAGGGTCTTGACAGCCGTGGCAGCGCTGCTGGTCAGCCTGCGAGCCCGGGAAGGCCGAGTGGGCAGAGCTGCCTCTCGAGGGGACAAAGCTGCTGCGGATCTACAGGGCAGTAATTCTGAGAACAGATTCTGTATTTCATTCTTCTGCATGTGGTGAAAATGGTAGTATTTCATGCTCCTGCAAGATGCAGATTCCCAGTGGATCGGGGAATGTCAGTAAAGGCATGTGGAAGCAACTGCCTGGCTCCTAGCTCCAGTTGTCCCGAGCTTTTGCTCGAAGAAGGGCCTTTTTGTTTGGGAGAGAGAAAAAAAAAAAAAAGCATTAATTTCCAAATAACAAAATACCCAGAAGAAAATTTACTGCCTTGAGGATGGGAATAAATGTAACACGACTTAGTGCTAAATAGGCTCTTTTTTTTTTCTTTTTTTTCAGAAATGAAAACCACTGTAAAAGTGGAGCTCATGTGCAGTAGAATCTACCTGTCTTGTCTCTTGTTGAGGTTAATGTTTTTGGAAAGCTCTGTAGCACACTAACAGCAGGGCCACCCCCATAAGAGGAGATGGTTCCGATTGCCCTGTGAGAAGCAGGGGGAATGAGTGTGAAAGGTCAACTTTTTTTTCCCCCTTCCCTGATGTTGGAAAAGGTATAGTCAAAGGGTGGATTAGGTCATTAAGGCAGCAAACTACTGCCAGGCTGCTTGTAGGGTTTGCTTGGTCTGGTCATCAGTGTTTTGGGCTCTCACTTGACCAGTACCAGTGAGCTGGCTGTAGTGGTAGTTTCATTGTTGATCCTGCTTCCGTGGCTGCAGAAACACTAATGGTGTTGGGGAGAGTTGGGGCACACACAGGTGGTAAGAGGAGTGGGAACGTATCCCTCGGGAGCCACACGGGTTCGTATTGGTATAAGCTGATGATGAAACTGCGCCCTGGAACCAAACGCAGTTTCTGTTCCATCAGGCCTTTCTCCAGGTTGTGGCAAAAGGAAATAAAATACTGACTTCAAGTTGAAATAGTGTTTACAATGTGAAGGTTTTGTCTGTTTATTTTTTTCTGCTCTTTTCAGTAAAGTCTGCAACAAGGAGGGTTTTTTTTGGGACCCAGCATAACTTTTTATTCTTCTTTTAATGCATTGAAGGTCGGAGTAAGGGGGAAGGACATTGTTGTTCTTGGTGTGGAGAAGAAGTCCGTGGCAAAACTTCAGGATGAAAGAACCGTGCGGAAGATCTGTGCTCTCGATGACAATGTCTGCATGGCTTTTGCAGGTACGTGATCCCTTCGGGGGTTTTGGCGGTTATTGGAGCACCTTTGGGTATGTTTATGAGTTCGGAGAACATAAAATACTTGGCATAACTGGCTGAGGGCTGTGGGGAAGACGTGTATTGCCATGGTTGCTTGTTCTTTTTTAAGTGAGAGTAGCCAGCTGTGTGGTGAAGTGTAGAGAGAGACAACGGTCTAATGAGAGGAAATACGTGTTAAAGTTACTGAGGTCCTCTCGGTCTGACGTGAGGATGGAGGCTGAGAACTGATGTGTCATTGGCACAGGTACAGATATGTACTGTTTGAATAGATATATTTAAATTTGTATGTATATTAATTTATGTATTTAAAATGAAATATTTTCAATATTTTATATATTACGTATAAAATACATATTATTAATACGTATGACAGGAGCTATAAGAGACATTTGTTATAGAGACCTTTTCCCACATGCTTCAAGCCAAAAAAGCAAAATTTTGCAGCCTTGCATAAACCAAAGAAAAATCTTGTCTGTTATAGTTCAGAAAACTCCTCCCGAATGAACAGCTCTGGATTTGAAGGGTGAACGTTCTAGTTCCATATTCTTCCTGTTCCAGATGTCTTAATTTGTGTTGTTCAAAGCTTAAACAGGAAGCGTGAAAGTCAAAAAATAACCAACCAAACAACGTCAGTGGAGAGAAAAAGTGTTCCAGGATGTTTCTCCTCTCTTCAAGTAGCTGAGAATCTCTGTCGGTGTTAGTGATGCTCCAAGGGGGGATGTGACTTCAGCAGACAAATAGTGGGGTTTTGCTGCAGCGCCCAGCAGTGCCAGGCTCAGCTCCCCCTGCTGCCCTGCGCCCTCAGAGACATACGTGCGGGTGGGTTCACAGCTCCAAGAAAAGTTCTCCAGTAGAAACAAGGCTGTAAACAGAGAATGGCATCATCAGCTAAAAAGGAAAATGAAAAATAAGTTTAAATTTTTTTTTTCCAAAGGCCATACTCCTTTTTGTCGGCTCACATCACGCTGCTGGAGCCTCATCCAGGACTCGCGGACGTGAAGGCTGTGAACTAAACCCTCTGCTTGTTTTGGTGCAGGAGCTTCTGGCTGCTGCCTCTTGCTCCCCCAGCCCGAGGGAGTGGGATCTCTCGTTTGCTTTTTTTTGTTGCTGTTGTCACCGACCTGGCGAGCCTTTGGGGGCAGGACGGGTGGGTTGGTTGGTTTGGGGAGGGCGCAGGGGTGTGAGAACCCGCTGTCGTTTCAGGGCTGACAGCCGATGCCAGGATAGTGATAAACAGAGCTCGGGTGGAGTGCCAGAGCCACCGGCTGACAGTGGAGGATCCCGTCACCGTGGAGTACATCACGCGCTACATTGCCAGTCTGAAGCAGGTACGTGGGGGCGAGCGGGGGCGCTGCAGCCACTGCAGCGCTGCGGCCCCAGCAGGGAAGGCGTCCGGCCTGGCCTGGTTCTGCTCGGCTGGTGAACGCGAGCGGAACCAAACAGGTCGCGGCCGTTCGTTGGGAACGGGGATGTAGCAATGGAAAAGGAGGGTTGATTACTGTTTGGGGGTTTTCCCAAGATGAAAAAGTTAATTAGTACTTGTAAGGACTGGGTAACGACATCTGTGATATCATCAGGAATGCTCTGCTCATCTACAGCTCTAACTCGCTCTCCAAACAATGGTGCTGTGTTACTGTCACAGCGTCTTCACGGCTCCTGTTTGTTTTCCTTCTGACTAAGCCACTGCAAGGAGGCGTAAGAAGGGAGGAAATCAGTGTGGTACTTGATATGCTTTACGTTTGATACTCATGAATTTAGAATGAATTACACAGTCAAAAAGTGCCCAACTGTGTTCTGTGATAAAATTATTCATCTGCCAGTGTATTAAAGTGATTTTCAGCAACTAGTGGGGATTACAAAAACTCTCATTTACTTACACACAGACAGGTGTTAGTTCAGTGATACGGTAACGGCGGGGCCCTTGCCGCGAGGGGGGCCCTTGCCG